GAATGCATGTGTTAAATACAGCCTGGATGCCTGGGAAAGGAGAGCTGGGCACACCCAGGATGGCTCTATTTGAAGCTGGAAGGAACCTTGGAAATCATCTAGTAGGGCCAACCCCTTTTTAGTTCTTCCAACCTCTTCATTTTGTACAGTGAGGGACAGTGTCTGAAATCACCTTCTGTCCCATCTCAGCCCCACAAGGCCTGACCTCAGAATGGCTCCTACTCCAATCCTCTTCCATTTTACTCCACTGCCTCCCTTTCCCTCTGAACATTACCGAGGTAAAAATCCTTAGATCTTAGGAAGGAGGTCCATCGGTACAGAGGACACAAGATGCCCACAGACAGAGACATGGAGCAGTGAGGTTGGAGGGAAGGGTGGTTTGTTTGGTTTTTTAGGAGGGAGGCTGGGAGTGGGGGGAGCATAGTTCTGGAATGCAGGGCCCAGGCGCTGAGGGCTGAAGATGGGCTGGGTAGGGATAGACTGTTCCTCACTCTTTCTTCTCAGAGGCTGGTTGATTAGACTCCCGATCAGACGCCTCAGACAATGGCGGTCTGTCCTGAGTGCTTTTGGGGCAGCAGCTCATCCGTATGCAGAATGACTGCCTTCCCCCACCCCCACCCTTCCCCATTCAGGCCATGGAAACCAGGGAGGGGGAGAGATTTTCACAGGCCGTTGGTCCATTTGCATAGCCCAACTTGTCTCCAGCAGACATTGGATGGCATTGTTTATCGGGCCTACAGGGAATGGGGGATGGGGGAGCAGAAGAAGGGGGGAGATAGGTCTGGAGGAGTGAGAGGATGGGGAGAGGAGGGAGCTGGGGAGACAGACAAGATGAGGGAGAGGCAGAGACAAAGACAGACAGAGAGACAGACAAACACAGAAGGCCAGAGAAAGAGGAGAAAGGAGGAGAGAATTGAAGAGAGAAGGGGGAGGGAGAGCAGGAAGACTGAATCCGTGAGATTTGGGGTGAGCCAGACAGTGGGAGGGGGGCAGTATGAGGGATACCACACAGAGGTCTCAAGCCCAGCCAAGTTTGTCTTTCTTTCCCTCCTCTTTCTCCCTCCATCCATCGTCCTCACTTTGGACACCCATGCCGTGTCTAATGCTTCTCTATCTGGGACACTGGTTGGTTTGTGTGATGTGAATTCCAATAGACTGGACTTTAAAGTCCTTTCCCAGGCTGTTGGAATGGAATCTAGAAAGTCAATTCCCTAAGAGGTCAAATTCTCCAGCTCTCTGCTTCTGGGCCTTTTCTCTCTCTTGTCAAATCTTACATAAAAGAGGTCCCTTCCCCACCCTTCTTTCTATGTTCCTGGCACTCCCACTCCTAAGAACTTAAGTCATCTTCAGTATACTTTTAGCATCTCCTCTAAATTTGAGTCTCAGGGTCTTCAATTCAAACTCTCTACCCCATCCAGGAAAACTTGCCCATCTATCACATCTTACCTTCACCCACCTCTGAGCCTTGACCTAAATTGTTTTCTGGATAGTTTTCTCTCTCAACCTGATTCCTCCCTTCCTTAGTAATCCTGAATCATCATACCCCTTTCCAGGATGTCTCCAACACTCTCTCTGACTCTGGCTCTCTTTTCCCTCAACCTCTTTCCACCTACTACACCCATTGGTGTCCAGAGCCTCTTTTATTATCCCTGTGTTTTCCTATCAGTGTTCTAGGCATGGGTCCCTTCTCTCCTATCTAACTTTAGACTCCCCATGGGCAGAGACTGTCTCCTCCTCCCTCATTATCCACCTCTTCATCCTCCCTGCAACCCCCAAAGCCTAGGCCTGGAGGAGCCGGCTCTGTACTGATGGAATGAGAGTGAGTTCAAGGGCAGGGTGAGTGTCCAATTGTCCTTTATTGTTGGGAATAATGCCTGTAATCAGACAGGACATCTTAAGGGACGGCCTGCCTAATTGTCCTAGAGAGGTGAAGAAGAAACACCCCTCAACCCCCTGCTCCCGTTCAGCTCGTTGACCTGTTCATTGTCACCCACTGACCCAGCCTGAATGGAAAGGCCAGTATGGAGAGAAAATGGTGTGGCTAAAAGAGAAGGCAGACTAACATGTGGGTTTGAAGTGGGAGGGAGAACACTGTCCTGGGCACTGGGGGCAGAACCAGAGGGAAGAGGAGATAAGGCCTGATGCTTTCCACTTAAGGAGACACATTACGTACAGTACAATGTAGGGGAAGGAGCTCTGGATTTGGAGTCAGGCAGAGGACACTGGTTCAGTCTCAGCTCTGCTAATTACTAGGTTGTGCTTCTCAGCTTCAGATGATCTGTAAAATGATGCTGGATGAAATGATTTCTAAGGTACCTTATAGTTCTAAATCCTCCAAGGTCCCTGACCTCAGAAAATTCCTACTGTGATGCGGAGATGTACGCTTTCCCTCCTTCTCCTCCACCCAGACTTCTTTCATTGTAAAAGTTGGATACGAGGCTATCAGGGTTCATCCTAGAGGTCATGCCTCGCTTTCCTTTTGCGTCCCCCATTACCTCTTCCTAGCCTCTTTCTATATCCCATTAAGCTATCTGAATTTGTAACACATACGTCCTCCTATTTCCAAAACATTCAACAGTTCCTGAATTCTTTCCCACCCACCCCCACCTCCTCCACCTCTTCCAGGCAGCCTTGGATTGACCCAGGGAGAGGCAATAGCTTTCCTTAGCCTCATCCTGGGACAGGGCTCCTCCAAATTCTTCTTTTGCCTCCCCTCCCCTTATATTCTCTTGCCCTCCATTCCAACAAATATTTATCCCACAAACACATACACTTTGGTGGAGTATATTACATTGTGCTCTATAATCACTGGCATACTATTTGTGGTCTCTCTGCTGTATGTCCTCTGTGTTGGCCAATAATAGTTTGTCTTCCTCATGGTGATGGTGAGACCTAATAAGCCAGGGAACTTGCTTGTGTCACTCCTGGACACTGCCAGGGGTACTTGGAGGAAGAGTGTTCTCCTTCCTCAAATTATCTTGCATTCACTTATCCATTTATGTGTGTACCCCCCAGTAGAAGGTCAGTTCCTTGACAGCTAGGACTGTTATTCACCCTTGAATCTTCAGTGAGTAAGACAATACTTGGCAAAGAGAGCTTAAAAAAAAATACTCCTTGCTTTCTAGTGTTATATTAGAGGTTCCTTCCATAGAAAAAGCCCAGGACTTCCAAGCCAGAAGACGTGGGTTCTAGTCTAGGTTCTGCCACCTTATGACCTGCCATTGTATATCCCTAGGCAAGTCACTGCCCCCTCTAGGCCTCAGTTTCCCCATTTGTAAAATGAAGGGATTAAATGAAGGTTCTTTCCAGGTCACATATTATGAATCTGGCATTTATAGTCCATCACAACCCAGCCTCACTTCAGCCTTTTCCTTTTCACATACTCCTATGTTCCAGCCAAACTAGACTGATAGCTGGTCCTGGATCTCATTTTCTCCAGGCCATCCTCTCATGACTGCTTCCTTTCCATGTGTTAAAATATTTCTTTTCCTCTAAGTACCATCTCCTCTGTGAAGCTGTCCCTTGATCCCACCCAAGAGAATAAGGATTTACATTTGCTGTTGTTCACTCGTGTCTGATTCCTCGTGACCCCATTTGGGGTTTTCTTGGCAGAAATACTGACGTGGCTTGCCATTTCTTTCTCCAGCTCATTTCACAGGTGGGGAAACTAAAGCAAACAGAGTTAAGTGACTTGCTCAGCTGAGAAGTGTCTGAGGCCAGATTTGAACTTAGGAAGATGAGTCTGACTGATTTCAGGCAGTCTCAGCACTCTATCCACTAAGCCACCTAGCTTCCCTAAGGATTTATATAGCCCCTGTTATGCAGCAGGCACTGTGCTATAAGCTTTACAAATATTATCTCATTTGATTCTCACAAGCCTGGGAGGTAGCTGCTGTTATGATCCCCATTTTGCAGTTGAGGAAATTGGGACAGACAGAGGTTAATGACTTGCTTAGGGTCTAGTAAGTGTCTCAGGTCATATTTGAACTCAGGTCTTCCTGACTTTTGACCCAGCACCCTTATCTGCTGAGACATCTAGTTGCCAGTGGGTGCCTAATAATTGTTTATTAAATTGAATTGAAAAGACAGGATGGAGTTGAGTGGTAGGACACATTTTCCAAACGGAGACACAGTGAAACATGGGAGTGAAGGGAAGAGCAGGCTCCCATGTCCTTATCCATCTGGGCTGGAATTTTAATGTACCCTTCTTTGTAGAGGCAGAGGAAGCCTGGAATGTCTTTGGGAGAGGGAAGTGGGCCTAGACAGAAGTTTGATATCTCCTTCTGCCTGCCTTAGGGCTCCCTCTAGTGGCCACCATCGGTCAGCGATGTAGGAGAGGTTTCTGAGAAGGAATCCAGGGATCACAAGAGAGGCCTCTAAGGCCTCCAGGCCTTTTTCCCCCTCCTTCTTTTTCCCTCTACTCCTGGGGTATCTCTGCCTTTCCAATCTCTTCATAATACCCTGTTCATTCTTCCCACCCAGGGAAAGAGACTTCAATCAGTTTAGGGGCCAGCTCAGTCAAGCAATTGGGTCCATGAATCCAGTCTGGCATCCCCTGGGGCTCCATTTTCTTCATCACTCATTTCATACCAAGTGGACTTTGTTGTCACATTAGAAAAGGTGAAAGAATATGGCATTTCAGCAGAGTGGAAGGAGGTTAGGTCATGGGAAGGCCTTCCAAGATTCAGTTGAATAAAGAGAGGTGACAGATATGTACAAATGATGCAGTATTTAATCACTTTCATAGTCTAGGTCTTCAATACTTCAGATTAAACATTTAACTTGGTTCTGTGATGGGACAAATAAATCAACTTCTCAGGTCTGAGACAGACAGATGAAGTACGGGTGGGGGTGGGTTATTTATCACCTGGTCAACTGTCATCCCCCTCAACTCACACCTGCCCTATGATGAGTACTCCATCCACTCCAATGATATAACCATCCTTCACAGTGCTTTCTCTCCTACCTGCTCTTTTCCCACCCATTCTCCCTGCCCGTTGTCTTATCCCTGCCTGTGCCCCTACCATTGCAGGTCTCCTGGCCCAGCCCCTGCAATCTTTCCAAAACAAGGATTGCTCTTAATTGGTGAATATTTCTCTGTTTGCAGCAAGAGACATCAAAAAACTTCCCAACAAAAGGGGTGAGGAAGAGCCTCTCCCATATTCATTGGTCATAATCTACCCTCATCATCCCTTAGAGAAGGCCCAGAGAACTCCCCTTCCCCCAAACAAGAATGATAATTCTTGCAAAGGGTCGAAATTTAGGCCTGGGTCTCTGTGTCCTCAGACCTCAAATGTCCCTGGACTTCATCTTCATGCTCAAGAGGGACCTAGAATGTAGAAGAAAGGCAGTTGATGATAGAGACAAGGGTCAGGAGGAAAGGGTCTTGGATGTGGTACAAGATATGGGGCTTTGGGAGTGGGAAATGATCTTTCCACGATCTCTGTAGTACCCTTTCCACATTTAAGATGAGTGAGAACATGACTAATATGGAAATATGTTTTACAGGATTGAACATATATAACCTATATCAAATTGCTTACTATTTTAGGATGAGGGGAGGGAAGAGAGGAAGGGAGAAAGATTTGGAACTCAAAATTTTGTGGAAAATGAATGTTAAAAATTGGCTTTACATATAATTGGAAACAATAAAATGCTATTAAAAATAAGACGAGTGAGAGCTGAGGGAGCAGGACAACAGCAGAATGCAAAGAATTTATTTGAGAAAGGAAGGATGTTAGGCCACAAAAAGAAAGTGGGAATGAGAAAGAGAAGGATAGACAGTGAGAACAGAACAGGGTGCTGGTGAAAGAAGAGCCCCGTGGGGCATATCTCCAGAATATCAAATGTATTATACCTCCCAATAGATCTGGTCCTCATAACACTGGGAATCAGGAGGGGAACTCAGGCAGGGGAGCCTCAGCAGAAGGCCTGAGAAGAGAAGGGGGAGGGTATGAAGTTCCTCATACAGGCACCATGTAGGGAGGAAGGGAGGGTAGGGAAGTTATCACAACAACAAAGACTTGGAGAGGAAGAAGATGAGGAAATGACAAGGAAAATGAGCTGCAAAGTAAAAAGAACTGGAATTGTGTATCCTGGACTTGAGAAGACCAGAGGGAAATGAAATCACAGATCTGATTCTTCTGTCAAGCCCAAGAGAAGAGCTCAGACTAAAGAAAGGTCTGCCTGAAGTCTATTTCTCTAAGAGGCTTTCAAACAAGAAAGAAATCTTTATTGATTTCATGAGGAAGGGGAGGTGGACACAATGATCTTTGCATGGCAGCTCTGATCTCTTGGAAAGCAGTGTAAAGTAGCATAACATTGGACTAGAAGCCAGAATTCCTGGGCTCAAGATCTAGCTCTTCCACTAATTCATTATGTTGGCCCCAGTCAAGTCCCTCTGGGCCTCAGTTTCCTCATCTTTAAAAACGATGGGGCCAGGTGTGGTAGCCCACACCTCTGTATTTCCTTCTACTGGGGTGGCCAAAGCTGGTGGATCACTTGAATGAGGGAGTTCTAAACATCAGTAGAGCTAGAGCCGTTCAGGTGTCCGCACCAAGGACAACACCAATATGGTGAGCACTAGTGAGTGAGGCCACCAGGATGCCTAAGGATTGGTGGACTGGTCAGGCTGGAAACGGAGTCAGTCAAAATTCCCATGCCAATCAACAATGGGGATCAGCACTGTGAGTGGCCGCTGGGCAACACAGGGAGACTCAGTTTCAAAAAAATAATTAAAATGATGGTATTAGATTTATTGATCTCTTAGTTCACTTCTAGCTTTTTGACATTTTGGTTCTACCTCTTCTCCCCCTCCCCATTCACTCTCTACCTCTAGCCTCTAGCCCTGTTGCCTGAGGTTGAGCTGCCCTCTGGTGGAGACAGAGGGCAAAGCTTGGCAGGTTTGGGTTACATAGAAAGCTATGATCCTCACCTTTGGACATCAATCATATTCCCCTGGCTCTGCATATCATTTTATCCCTTCTTTGTATATGTGCTGGGTCAAAAAGAGTCTTTTCTCTTCTCCAAGGTATATGGGGATAGTCATTCTATCACCCCATCCTGCCACCATTCCCTCAATGCTATCTAACCTGCATCACTCTTGCTCCTTTCACACTAAATCCTATAAATATGAAACCTCATAGCTTCTCTCTCTAGAGAATCCCAATGGAGAGTATCGGATCCAAGCGTGATGACCTTTTTCTTCTTTATCCCTTGAATCAATCCTCTCATCTCCTATACTCATCCTGGTATCCATCCCTTCCTTCTTTCCTCTCAGGATCACAAAGTCAAGGATAGTAGGTAGCCAGGATGAGGGCTCCTCACTCACCTCCAATTCCTCCACCCAGTGAAGCCAACACCAGGGTGACAAAGAGCCCAAAAAGTTGATATACAGCCTGAGATGTTGCACTTCGATGGCCTTCAGCAATCAGGGGAAATACACTTTTCAATCTGGAAGAAAAACTTGGGATTGGGGCTAAGAAATTCCAGAAAGAGAGGTACATGACTAATGATGACTAAAAGAAGTTAAGAGTGGGTCCCTGGAACAGTTTAGTGTATTCTGATGTATACCAAAAAGAGATGTTCAAAGGATACCCATCAATATCTGTGCCTGGAAGGTAGCAAAGGAGACATTACCCCAAGTGACCACTGGTAAAAGTACCCTCTTCCTTGATGTGGACCAACTCACCCATCTCCATAGGTTTGATGGGTGGCTAGCCCAGCCACAAGAGCACCAAGGAGGGCTCCCAGGACCCCTGGCATCCCATGGAGGTTATGGACTCCACATGTGTCTTGGACTTTGAACTTTGATTCAAGAATGGGCTGAGAAACACCAGGGAGAGACATTATATAAACAAAGGAGTGTTATTAGAGCATGCTCCCCCCAATCTCTCCATTCACCGAATCAGTGTTAGGGCCAGTCAAATACTATGATTTTACAGATAAGAAAACTTGGGGCCAGAGAGAGTTCAGTTGACTTGTCCAAGGTCACACACATAGTTAGATGGCAGACAGGACATAAACCCAGTTTTTCTGACTCAAATACAATGCTCTTTCTACTATGTCATACTGATTCGGGCCAGTCAAATACTATGATTTTACAGATAAGAAAACTTGGGGCCAGAGAGAGTTCAGTTGACTTGTCCAAGGTCACACACATAGTTAGATGGCAGACAGGACATAAACCCAGTTTTTCTGACTCAAATACAATGCTCTTTCTACTATGTCATACTGATTTGGGCCAGTCAAATACTATGATTTTACAGATAAGAAAACTTGGGGCCAGAGAGAGTTCAGTTGACTTGTCCAAGGTCACACACATAGTTAGATGGCAGACAGGACATAAACCCAGTTTTTCTGACTCAAATACAATGCTCTTTCTACTATGTCATACTTCCTCCTTCCCCACCATAAGAAGACCAGAGGCTCAAGGTAATTTGTTAATCACTAAGTTTACAGGCTTGGGGCAGGACATTCAGTTCCTAGCCTTAAGTGACTCTCTTTCAACTTCTTGGTTTTCCCAGAATGAAGAAAAATAACTATACCGTGAGGAACTTGTATCCCAGGGTAGAGATGGTCCCAGCCAGGAATCCAGCCATCAGAGCCCCAAAAGGTGTAATCATCATTTCCCCAGAAGTCCCCACAACTACCCCACCTGCCAGTGCTGCATTCTGGATGTGGACCTGAGAGTATATGGGGGAGAAGGGGAATGAGAGTTAAAATGACAGCTGTCAGTGGAAAAGCCTTTCTAAGGTCATCATATCCATCCCCTGTCTCAGTAATCAAGAGTTCCCCCTCAGCCCCATCACACTTCTGTCTACCCCACCCTACCCCAAGGACTCTCCTGCTATGAGACTTCCCGCTCCTAAACATCCCTCTTACAGCCTGACCCCATACCTCCTGCTATCCCTTTCCATTGCCATCTGTGTAGATGGAGCCCAGTATATCCCATTCAAATTTCTCTTCCTGGAGAATCTCCCTTTCAGTCAGCCAAAAGCTCCCCTCCCCTTTGCATTCTAGCACTTCCCTTCTTCCCATGGTTGTCCTCTGTTACTTTAATGGCATGGGCTGAGGAAGAGAAGCAGTTATAGCATCCTAACTCATAGAGTTAGGAAGCCTGGTCCTGCTGGATGGTCTTACCATGTCCAGCTTCCCCTCTCTGCTTAGGAGTGCTGATAAGGCAAAGGTGCTCAAGGTGCTGGCCCCCAGGGAGTAGTATGTGTTGAGGGCTGTTCGGTGCTGACCATCCCCAGTATTTGTGGGGGCTGAGTTGAAGCTTGGCCAAAAGATCCACAGAAAGATGGTTCCTATAAAGCATGAGAAGGGAACTTTTTTTTCTCTCAAGGAGTACACACATACACACACAAGACATACAACACAGACATACAATTAACTGAAGACACAAATAAAAAAATTTAGAATGTTTTTTGGAGGGAAGAAATGTAAGATATATGTGTGTGTGTGTGTGTGTGTGTGTGTGTGTGTATGTGTGTGCATGTATGTGTGTGTTTGTTTGCCAGAGTCCTTAAATTAGACATGCCCCATGGGAAAAAGAATGGTTTAGAAAATGCTGTAAAAGATGCAGCTTCTGATGACTTTATGACACAGATCTGTCACAGCTCGGTTCTTTTGCTATTCTCTTTGTCCCAGATCTTGGGCAGCTCAGTAACATGGCTCCTCCTCACCTCTTCTCTACACTGGGAAATGCACCCACAGACTCAAAGGTAAAGGTATACAGAGACAACCCAACAGCTGTGCTACTTCACTGTGACAAGAACCTACCTGTTTCCTGCTCTGTCCCTAGTCCAAGTACTATCACATCCTGAACAAGCAGTGTGATGAGGACCAGCCTTCAAACCCCAGCACTGAAGATGTTGCCTTTGTAGGCTGGATGTAGGCCACCACCAATATGGTCGAGAGAAGTGGTACAGCCCTTTTCTTGCCCTCACAGGTCACCTGCACTGCCTTCCTTGTTGTACCAATCATGAAACACAAGTGCATATGAATCAAATAATAATAACTAACAAGCAATAGAGTCTTCACATTTGCAAAGCACTGTAAATATATAGTGATCTGAATATAGAACATCCTATGATCCTCTTTTAGAATTAAGAATAGGAAACATAAATCAATATTCGATGAATGTAAATGGTATTAAAAGATACACTTCAAGTCTGTATTATGTTCTGTTAAGGGAGAAAGAAAGAAAAACAGAAATAAACTGAGGTATTCTGTATGTTTTAATACATGCTTAAAAGAAACAGGTCTAAGAGACGAACTGAAGGAATTAGTAAATAATTCCTCTTGAATGGTAAAACAAAACTATTATTAACAACAATAAGACATTTATGGTACAGATGAATGTTACAGGGGACTTAAAATTATATATATACAATCCTTACAACATCCCTGTGAGGTGGATAGTACAAACATTAGTATTCCCATTTAACACATGAGGAAACTGAGCTCAGAGAGGTTATAGGACATGCCCAAGGTCACACAACTAGTAAAATATAAGTTCAGAACTCAGACCCAGTGCTCTTTCTACCATGTCATACTGTGTAGCCCTGTCTCATGTCACATTATCCCCTGTGGGAGAAGAAGGTAATTCATGGAAACTGGAAGAATCTGGGTAATTGTCATATTCTGTTTTTGGAGTTTCATTTTGAGTAGAATATATGGAGCAAAGAAAACAAAAGAGGCTTTTGTGGCTACTCTGGTGGCTTGACTAACCACAACTGGAGAGTAAGTCCCTAAATACTTTTACTGCAGAGAGGGACGGCTACAATAATTAACCTGGTCAAGTTCACATTGAGCTTCAACCCAGAAACTTCCAGCACTGAGGCAAAGGCTGTGACAAGCCTGGGATCTTGCTGAGACCCCAGAGCTGCAAACTGCAGCGCAACTCCTAACTGAGCTGTAAGGATAGGCTAGGTTGACACTGGCACTTAATTAAAAATAAGAGCAATTTGGAGGAAGTGTGTTTAGGAAATAGCACATGAAAAGTACATCCATTATTGTTTTCTGTTTCTGCTTTGTTTTCATAGCAGTGCCACAGACTCAAAGAACAATAAAACTGGCATCTTCAAGATCATCCAGTTCAACCTCTTCATTTTACAGATGAGAAAAATGAATCCAAGAGCAGTAAAGTGACTTGCTCAAGGTCAAATAAGGTTAGTGACAGTCAGGACTGTACTCAGGATCTCTGGACTCCCAATCATTTCTACTATTTCCTCTATAGCCTCTGATAATTTTTGTCATGTGTGTAAGGTTTATACTACCAAAAAGAAAACACTAGGGTAGCTAGATGGTGCAGTGGATAGAGTACCAGCCCTGGAGTCAGGAAGACCTGAGTTCAAATCTGACCTCAGACACTTACTAGCTATGTGACCCTGGGCAAGTCACTTAACCCCAATTATCTTAAAAAAAAAAAAAAGAAAACACCACCACCCATTGGCAAAATGTTTGACTAGTAGATGGTGCATTCAAACCTATATAGTAATAGAAGAGGTCACACCTATGAAGTCTAAGGAGGCTTAAGGGAGTGCCATTGAGATCCTAGAAATCAATAAAACAAAGATCCAAAAGATCTTACAACAGAATCTGAAAAGATCTAATGAATGAATATCAGAAGAGAAAACCCACTGAATGAAAATGAAGGCATTTAATGATCAAAATATTCAAGACTATTGTGCAGACAGGTGTCGAATATATTGTATGTTTTCAGGCTTTTTCAATGTGTTGATTAGCTGTGCCTGATTTGTTCTTCTGTTTCCTTTTGTCTTTAAAAAATTACTATTTGTTATATGGGATGGCTCTTTGGGAAGGAGAAAGGGAAGGGCATGGGGCAGAAAACTCTGATGATGTAAAAAAAAGATATTAATAAAAACTTATTTTTTAAAAAGACTATTATATTGAGAATCTGGATTTTGCCCATAGAAGGATCCTTAGAGGTTATGTATTTCAACTTCTACATGATCAGAAATACTTTCTCCAATATTCCTGACCCTTTTCCAGCCTCTGCTTGGAATTTTTCAGTTATGGAGAAATCACCACTTCCAAAGGTAGCCCATCTCACTTTTGGACAGCATGAAGTCTCTCCTTACATAAAATTAAAATATTTTGTGCACTTATACAAAAGTTGAGCCTTAAAAGAGGTATAGTAATAAACACTGTACTTTTGAAAAACTTTTTTTTAAATGGCATACTTTACCTATTTCTTCCCCAGGTACTCCTCCAAACACGAAGAGGCTTATTTTTACTCTCTGACAAGAATGCTTTCAGTCGATATTAAAGGATGTGGTCTGAATGGAGCCTTGACACTAGCAGTATTTGTCAGGGCTTGGTCCCCATGAGGCCAGGCAGACTACACTGAGCCTCCCTCTGCCCTCCACCCTGCCCTGGTGCCTTACCGATCATGGCAAAGAGGTCCGAGTGGTAGACAGAGCCTTCCCGGTGTTTGCTCTTGTCCAGATGAGATCGGTAAAGAACTCTGGAGAGAACAAGCCCAAAGTAGGCACCAAAGGTGTGGATGGTCATGGAGCCGCCAGCATCTTTCACCTGGTAGGGAAGAGACTGCTGAGGGAAGGGCCAATGTTCCACCTGCTTCTTCCTCCTTCCCCATCCTCTATTTTCACTTTTTCCCGCTCTGAAATTTTCACTAAGATTGGTCCCCTGCACCAAGCGCCCACCCCACCTCCCCTTGCAGAAAAACCAACCATATCCACACTCTCTTTTCCAGAAAACTTCTCAGATCTAACATATTGCCCTCATTACTGTCACTACAATCACATTCGAGGGAAGTGGGGAGAAGAAATAATTATAGGTTCTCACCCCAAGAAGACTGAGGAGGATGAACTCATTGACCCCAAATAGTGTCACCTCTAGTAGAGACATGAGCAGCAGCTGTACAGGGCTTGTCTTGCCCAACACTGCCCCAAATGAAATCAGAACAGCTCCAGTGCAGAAATCAGCGTTGATCATGCTGGGAAGAATGGGAAGTTGGGAGGCAGGATAAGGAGGAGAGTTTTGGAGAGTAGGAATAGGAGACAGTCATTCACACACTGAAGGAAAGAATAAAGGTCAGAGAGAATTAAGGCAGAAAAATTAATCCCTGCCCAGGGCTAGAAGGAAATAATGCCTCAGATTTATATGGTTCTTTTCAGTTACCAAATAGTCTAAAAACCCTTCTCATTTGAGCTTAACTACATGCTGTGAAATAGGTATTACCAGGTCATCACCATCTGACAGAGAGAAAACTGAGGCTGAGAGAAATGAAGTGAGCAGCTCAGGGTCATATTAGCTACCAAGAGGCAGAGGCTAGACTTGAACTCCTGACCCTAGTTCTAGTACTGGAACTTAAAAAAAAAAATCAGAGTCTAGGAAGAGCTCAAAGAAACTGAGGGGTGGGGGATGGGGTAGGGAGGGAAGCAGAGGAAAAATAAAGTGGGTATCAAACAAAATAGAAAAGAAAACTAATGATGGAACTAAAAGAAACTGAGATTAAAGAAATCAAGCTGGGATAATAGATAAGACAGTGGACCTAAATAGGAATTAGGCAACAAACTAAAAACAAAAAATTTATTAATCTCTGTCCCTTCTTTGCATAACACATCTTTGGGGCTAGAGATGGGTGATTCAGGAAAGCTTTCTAGAGGAGTAGGTGTTAGGGGGTTTCTAATCAAATGTCATACCTGTGCCTACAAGTTACCATCTGGACTCCTCAATGTGGCCCTAAAGGAAAAGAGAACGGAGGAGAGCACTGTCCCGTCTTTTATTACCAACCCCTCACCTTTCCACACCAATGTAGATCTTGCCTCCATGAAAGGAGTGGAAGAAACCCTGGACCAAAGTGGACCACTGCAAAGAAAAGGCTGACAGGAGAAAGTTGAAGCCAATGCTGCTGAACCCATAGCGTTGTAGGAAGGTCATTAGAAAACCAAAACCAATGAAGATCATGGTATGGACATCTTGGAAACCTGAGGGGGAAGGGAGAGTCTGAGATCAGACACCTGGATCTGGAAAAAACACCATTAGAGGCAGCCTGGGCCTTGTTAGACAGATTCCCACTGAAATCAAAGGAAGGTGCTTACTCTGCCCCTCTTCCCTCCAATGCTCTCTGAAGGGCCCTCCAACTCCTGCCCCTCTTTCCCATTCTGCTTTGTCCTCTTCAGACTGGCCTGAACTGCCTCAGAGCTGGACGGTGAACCTATAAAACTCCCCAAGTGTGGCTGGGGGTGTGGGAATGAACCATTTCACCTTGTCCTTTGACTGTACTTCCCAGAGCAGCTTAAGCCAGTATGACTCAGATGAGTCCTGGGTCCCCCTAAAGGAAGGGTTATTAGTCCTTTTTGTGCCACTGACCTCTTTGGCCATCTAGAAAAGCCTACAGAACTCCTCAGAATAATACTGTCAAGCACACAACAAACATAAGATTATATTGAAATATTGAAAGAAAAATGCAACTTTTCCCAAGTTCACAGATTCCCCCCCCCCCTGAAATCTATCCACAGACCCTTTAGGAGTTAATAGCCAGGAGAAGATTGGGTTTCCATCCCACTTTGAAGGGCAAAAAAATCTGAACTATTCTTTTGGGAATATTCCCTACCACACCTGCCCTGTCCCTACCTCTCTCACATTCCCAGCTGCTCAACCTTCATCTGCCTTGATCCAGTACCAACATTTTCATTCTCACTGTGGAGACTGAGCCTAGTGAGGTTCCCTCCTTCCTCCCTTCCCCCACTCTTCCACTCAAGCATGCCTATCTTATGGGAAGTCCTTCAAATTCGGTCTCAGACCAGACACTTGACACTTACTAGCTGCGTGACCCTGGGCAAGTCACTTAACCCCAATTGTCCCCCCCCACAAAAAAAAACCCAATAAGTATTTATTAAGCATCTACTATGTACCAGGCACCATGCAGCTAAGCTAGGTGGCACTGGGTACTGAATACTGGGCCTGAAGTCAGGAAGATTCATCTTTCTGATTTCATATCCAGCCTCAGACACTTACCAACTGCATGAACTTGGGCAAGTCACTTAACCCTGTTTGTCTTCATTTCCTCAAACATAAAACAAGATTGAGAAGGAAATGGAAAACCACTGCAGTATCTCTGCCAAGAAAACCCCAAATAGGGTCACAAAGAGTTGGACACAACTGAAAACAACTGAACAACAACAAAAATGTGCCTGGCACTGTGCTAAGCACTAGGGATAAAAAAAAAAAAGGTAAAAGACAGCCCCTACACATAGGGAGCTCACAGTCTATTTAGGGAGATCACAAGCAAAGAAATATGTACAAACAAGCTATATATAAGATAAATAGGAAATAATTAAAAGAGGGAAGGCACTAGAATTAAGAGGGGTTGGGAAAGTCTTCCTCTAGAAGAGGGGATTTAGAGCTGGGGAAGCCAACAGATGAAGATGAGAAGAAAGATCATTCCAGGCATAGCAGACAACCGGAGAAAATTCCCGGAGCTGAGAGATGGAGTGTCTTGTTCCTGGAACAGCAAAGAGGCCAGTGTCAACTGGCCCTGGATTCAGAAGGACCTGAGTTCAAATCCGGCCTCAGACACAAAACACTCACTAGCTGTGTGACCCTATGCAAGTCACTTAACCCCATTGCCTAGCCAAAAAAATAGAAGCCAGTGTCACTGGATTGAAGAGTCTGTGGAGGGGAGTGAGGTAGGAGAATGGCTTTGGACACCAAACAGATGATTTTGTGTTTTATCCTGGATCTGACAGGGAGTCACCAGAGGTTACTGAGTAGGGAGTGACATGGTTGTAATTACAAGACTACTGCAACAGTGCAGGTGGGTGGTGAGGAGGAGGGACAGGGTGGAAATAGAAAGGAGGGGAGAGATGCAAGAGATGTTCCAAAGGTAGTATTGACAGACCTTGTAATTGATTGAATATGAGAGATGAGGTGGTAGAAAGAGTCGAAGATAACCCCAAGGTTACAAACAGAGAAGAATGAGTATGGTGCTGCCACTGACAAAAACACGAGATAAAGCAAAAGGAAGAACAGGCTCAAGGGAAAAGCAGCTTCAGAAATGATGAATTTGAAGTGCTTGTGGGACCTCCAGGCAGAGATGTTCTGAAGGTCCTTGGAGATGAGGATCTGGATGCAGAAGAGAAGCCAGTGGTAGAGATATAGATTTGAGAGTTAACCATGCTGAAGTAAGAGCTGAAGCTGTGAGAGGGAATGAAATGTAAGGAAGAGAATAGAGAGAGGAAAGAGAGAGAACATAAGACAGTACCTTATGAACCATCTGCCTTAAAGGGTTGGGAAGAGTGAGAAGTCATAGGAAACAGAGACAGAGGAGTGACTAAGCAAGTAAAGAAATATATTCTCTCTGAAGCCAGGAGAGGAGAAAGTATCTAGGTAGAGATCAAGAAGGGTGAAGACTTAAAAATAAGGATTTGATGATTCAAAAGTCATTGGTGACTTCATTTTTTTTCTTTTTGGATAAGCAATTGGGGTAAAGTGATTTGCCCAGGGTCACAGAGCTCACAAGTGTCTGAGGCCAGATTTGAACTCAGGTCCTCCTGACTCTAGGACTGATGCTCTATCCACAGTGCCACCTAGCTGCCCCAGTGACTTTGGAAAGTAGTTTCAGCAGAATGGTGGGGGTAAGGTACTACATGGCCCAGTGGATAGAGCACTGGGCTTAGAATCAGGAAGACTCATCTTTATGAGTTCAAATCCAGCCTCAAACATTCATTAGCTGTATGACCCTGGGCAAGGCACTTAAGCCTGTTTGCCTCAGTTTTCTCATTGGTAAAATGAGCTGTAAAAGGAAATGGCAAACCACCTTAGTATCTTTGCCAAGAAAACCCCAAATGGGGACAGGAAGAGTTGGACACAACTGAAATGACTGAACAGTGAAGAGAAGGAAAGAAATAGTACGGTAAAGGCAGCCGGGTGTCAAAGCGGATAGAGCACTGGCCCTGAAGTCAGGAGGACCTGAGTTCAAATCTAGCCTCAGACACTTGACACCTACTAGCTGCATGACCTGGGCAAGTCACTTAACTCCAATCGCCTCACCACCACCACTCAAAAAAACAGAAAGAAGGAATCTGGTAGCTGGATGGTGGTAGGGAAGGTCAGGAGAAGAATCGTTTCTGACTGGGGATATCTGATCATGTTTATAGACAAACAAGAAAAGATTGAAGATGAATGAGAGAGAGGATACTGGACTTTGCTGGAGCAAGGGTTCTGGAGGGAATAGGATCAAGGGTGCAGGTAAAAGGATGAACCTCAGTGAGGAATAGACATAGCTTTGTAAAATCAGAATTTTTTTTTCAGAATTGAAAGGGACGTCAGAAACCATCTGGCCCAATTCTCACCTAAAAAAGACAATCCAGCAAACATTCATTCAATATTGATTACAAAACCTCCAATGAAGGAGAACCCATTGCCTACCAAAGCAGCCTTTTTTAACACCTCTAATTGTTAAGGTTTTTTCTCTACAGTAATTCTAATTTACCTGGTTGCAACTTCTCCCCATTTCTCCTAATTCTGCCTTTGAAGCCAAATCCCTCTTACTCTAGGGAACAAATCTCTCTTCCTCAAGACTCTCTTTTAAGTACATGAAGACAGTCATCATGTCCCACACGAGCCAGACTAAAGATTCCCAGTTCTTTCAATAGATCCTTCTATGGCATTATTTTGAGGCTCTTCAACAATCTGGTTGCCCTTCTCTGGGTGCAACTACCACAAAATATTGTTGACTAAATTCTGATCTTGTAATCCACTAAAATCTTTTTTAGACAAACTGCTGTGTTTCTTCCATCTTGTACTTGTAGATTCAACTTCTTGAACCTAAGTATAAAGCTTTATGCTTATCCCTATTAAATATCATCTTATTAGATTGAGCCCAGTTTTCTAACCTGCAGAGATATTTTTGGATACTGATTCTGTCATCTAGTGGGTTAGTCATACTTCTTAGCTATAGCCTATGCAGAATTTGATAAGCACGCCTTTATCAAAATCATAATAATGTCGAATGCAAAGCATGGATTCCCCAGGCCTCTCCACTAGAAACCTCCTTATGAGTTCTATGATTGGACAGAAGGAGGATAGAGTAGATGGTGATACTGGGAAATTTTTGGAAATGGAGAAGGGAAGCCTGAGAGGGCTCACATTGGATGACCTCAGTTTGAGTTCTCAGTTAAGAGGAGCCTATGTCATCTGCTTCAAAAGTGGGAGTTGGGGTCTGAGTGGAAGCAAAGTGGAAAAGTTGGAACAGTTGCCGTGGGAAACGACATTAGGAGTCAATAAGAACAATTTCTTTTAGGCCCACGCCATGATTCCTTTTTATTCTTGAGAATGTGTTCATCTGAATGGTTCTAAATATACAGATAGTGAAGGAGACTCATTCTTCATTCTCCTTTCCACTGAGGCCAGGATCTCAGATAATTGGGCTGAGCTCTCTGGGTTCATGCCACTATTTCCTGCTTGACTAATAAGTACTGTCATTTCTTTAAAATGGTGGTAATATTTACACCACCACTTGGTTTGTTTGGAATCAAAACTCAGTCCCCAAAGCTCTTTCAACTACAACCCATACATTGGAACAGGGTGACTGAGGACCATCCTTTCCTCCCGTGAAATTTTCCTCTGGTTACGTGATTCATCAGGCCTTCTTGTGTGGAGGCTAGCAGATGGTCAAGATAACCTCTCAAAATCCCTACCAGGCTTAGCATCTCTGGGGAGTAACTCGTGGCCCTCCACACCTAAGTACCCATTCCATTTATCAGAGTCAGCACAACAGCTCTCAGAAGACAACTCCAAATCCACACTCTCACCTCAACAAACAGTCATTAAGTACCTACTATGTGCAGGCCACTGTGCTAGCCTCTCAAAACACAAAGACAAAGAAGAAATAGTCTTTGCCCTCAAAGAGCTTCTATGACAAGAAAGCATTGAGGTAGGGGTAGTAGCTACAGAGTCTGGCGTCAGGAAGGCCTGAGTTAAAATCTGACCTCAGATATTTTCTAGCTGTGTGAGCCTGGGTAAGTCACTTAACCCAGTTTGCCTCAGTTTCCTCATCTGTAAAATGAGTTGGAGAAGGAAATGGCAAACCACTCCAGCATCCTTGCCAAGAAAACCCCTAATGGGGTCACGAAGAGTCGGACACGACTGAGACAGCTGAACAACCTGGTGCTGCACTCCTCTCTGCTCCATAGCCTGGTCTTTGAAATGAGATAACAGAGGCCTGAAGAGGCAAGGAGGTTAGGGCTTGGAAAATTGGAAAAATCCCCTTACTCACTCTGTTTTTTCCTGAGCTACATTTAAGCCATGTGAGATCGATGACCTTTCCTCAACTCAGAGAAGATTCCATAGCCTCCTCATCCCCGACCACCCCCCACAACTGATTTCAGGTTCCGGGGACTGCCACCGTCAAGGTTTTTCTTACATTTAACCTAAATTTCTCTCATTTCAGGGCCACACCATTTCCTGTAATCCAAGCCTCTGGAGGATGTCTTCCAGAGGGAGGTTTTATCTCCACCCCTAACTAGCTGTCTGGTTAGATATGATCTTTCTTTCCTTAGAATTTGAACAATACTTTGTAACTAAATCTCTTATGTACTTATCACACATCACTCCTAATTTGTACTATAGTCATTACCATAACTATGGTTACAGTAATCTAAAGTTATAAGTTATAGTACTTTTGATCATTTCCTATGAAGTTATAAGGTAAAGGTTGGTTTAATCTTTGCTATCTCTCCCAAGAACTAGCACAATTCTTAGGCATTTAATACGTGTTTATTACATTAAACTTAACCTCTCTGGGGCCTTGGTTTCCTCATCCGTATATTGGGAGGGTTGGATTCTGTCCCTTATAACCGTCCTATGATTTTAAGACCACAGACTAAGTGAAGGTGGCAGACCTTCAGTCAGATGTAATGACATGGGATTGGCCAATCTGAAGATAAGTCAACAGCCACAGTAACTCCCTTTAATCTTCCAAATGAAAGAGTCCGAAGGATACATCTGTCCATCCCCACATCATGGGCATAGGTACAGGATGGCAACTATCAAAGCCCTGGACTCTCAGCTTCTCTCAAAAGAAATCCACCCCTCAAGGTCCTAAGTCCACATAGTTGGAAAGTCCAGGACAAAGAGGGTAGGGTGGTAGTGGTGGTGGTGGTGGTGGCTTAGGAATTTCACTGCCATCCTTTCTATTGTAATTCACATAAACGCATGTTGTGTTTGAGGGAGAACCCACTACTATCAATGTAGGTCTAATAAGAGGGATAGACGTTAGGCTTTGTCAATAATTTCCCAAAATGGGGACAGCTAGGTGGCACAGTGGATAGAGCACTGGCCCTGGATTCAGAAGGACCTGAGTTCAAATCCAGCCTGGGACACATTAACACTTACTAGCTGTGTGACCCAGGGCAAGTCACTTAACCACATTGCCTGGCCAAAATAATAATAATAATAATTTCCCAAAATGTAGGGGTGGGTTACTCTGGCATAGGAGAGGAGTTGAGTCTCCAAAGCCAGAAGGTCAGGGGATGTAGTAATATAACTTATATTATATTAATATAAAAATTATGTTCATAGAACATAGGGATAGAAAAGGGAGGTTTAAACCAACCTTTTCATAGAAAAGGGAGTTATCATTTTACTATCACGTCCATTATTTGCCAGGCATTGCTTAGGGTCTAGCCTTCCATGCCTAAGGCAAATTCTTGCTCCTTCCACTTTCCCATCCTTTTGTATTTCATTTATCCCCAGGGGATCAGTGTTCTGATAATTCTGGTGAGAGAAATTATGATAATACCTTAGAATGTTATACATTATATCCTCACACCCCTTAAATTCTCACAGGCCAGGAAAGGAGTGAGGTAGGCTTTTCCTAATTTTTCAGGTGGGGAAAATATAAGGTCTAGTGGTGAAGTCACCTATGCAGTATTGTATGGCCACAGGATTGGGCCAGGGGTAGGGGCACACCCCTGTAGTTTCTGCTATGGAGGAGGCTAAAGCCAGTGGATTGCTTGAGCTCAGGAGTTCTGAGCTTCAGTAAAGCTAAAGCTGATCAAGTGTCTGCACTAAGTTGGGTACCAATGTGGTGAACTCCTGGGAACAGTGCCCACCATGCTGTCTAAGGAGAGGCTAGGTCAGGAAAGGAACAGGCCACGGCTTCCACGTGGATGAGTTGTGGGATTGGCCCGTGAGAGGCCAATACATTTATAGCCTAGGTGAGATAGGGAGAACAGGTCTTAAAAAAAACACCTCAACAACAACAAAACAAGTTCAGCGTCAGAAGTCCAGTAGCTTTACTCCCAGGCCAAGCTTCTGTCCAGAGGCTAAAGCTTTAGTCCTTAGGATGGGCAATTGAGAATATAGTCTTTTGTTTCCTTTTACCCCTGAGGACCTCAAAGTATTTTTTGAATTTATCTCTCCATGGGAAAGGCATTTAAAATGGACAGGAATCAGTGTAGCGGGCACTGAGAGGAGATGAGACCTAAGTGTTGGGAGAAAAAAATCCTATGGATGATTTTCTATTGCACTCTGAAATTATAAAGGTTTTGGGGGAGGTTTTGCAGGCGGAGGTCTGAGAACATTAGATGCCAAGATTCTCAACATGTGGCTCACGATACAGTAAACACTTGATCATTTACATATGAGCTATCCAATTTGTGGATTATTTATGCCAAACATTCACCACATGCTGGTCTCCCCCAGCTACTTTCCAATTGCCCCTACCATCGGGCAATACACAGGAATGCACACTCATTTTAATATCAGCCAAACAAAACATAATTGGGAAGATAAATCTGTTCCCCCAAAGCATTACAGAATTCAACCCAAAGTCAAAAAGTGGCCTTTGATTTGCCCATGCCACCACATCTCCTTCATTAGTATAGGTAATTAATTATATACAGTGTTTATACAGTGACAGGTCCCAGGCACATGAATTTCCATTCCTAGGAAGAAATAGCTACAGATATCCCACACAGGAGTGGGAGATACCAACAAATTCCCTTCACCCAGAGGATAGACCCCCTCCCTTCCTCAATCTCTGGGAATCCCCAAACTCACTTGGGTAGCGAAAATAAAAGTCATTTTCCATATCGCTGTGGTTGCTTTGGTGCCAGAGGGAGGAGTCTGTCTCATGGTTGTACCGGACAAAAAATGAAAAGAGGATAACGATGGCTGCTTGAAAGACGAAGCAGAGTAGGGGCAACTGCACCCTCAGGCCTGTAGCGTGGCTGGAGTTCCTGGCCATGGGAGAGAAGGAGCTGCCGGCTTTGAAGAGAGCCTGGGACTGAAATACAATCCAGAACAAACTCAGCTGAGGCAAGAGTGTGGGATGGCTTCATTTGGGAGCTAGAGGCCACTCCCACTCTGGAAGGAAAGATATACACACACACAAACACACCCATGCTCCCAGAGTCTAGACATGCCCAACTGGATTCCCCATCCCTTTGAAGACAAAGGAAATGGAACTCCGAAGTATGTACAGTAACTTCATCCATCAAAGGCTCTGGAACCTTCTGAAGAAGAAAAAGGGCAATCCAGAAGTCCAGGCACTTACCTTATGGGTACAAAGACTAGAGTCCCTGTAACAAAGTCATAAGAAGTGTCTATGGCCAAAACAGAGAAGATACTAATCAAGAGACAGATAACATTTGGGAAACCTGGCTCTTTGCATCAGCCTCCTAGGAAAAAAATTTAAATAAAAGACAAGCAGAGAAATCTAGCTGCTTAGGTCCCATATCCCGCTCCATCTTCAAAGCTCTAATCAAAGAGAACAATGGAGACCCACAAACTCATAGGCATTTCCCTCAAAAAAAGGCCACCTGTCAGAGGCATATGGCACTGTCATCTCTAGGGTTAAAGTAAGAGGGAATTGGGGGAATTACTCAATATTTTGATTGCTTAAAAAAATAAAGAGATGAAGAGAGATAAACAGATGGGAATCTCCCAGCATTAATGATTAACTGGCTCAGTACAGCATTCTTGGTCACACCACTTAGATCCCAGCTCCCTTCCTCTCCCCTTTTATCTCAATTTTTCTCCTACCTTCCAACTTCCCCCACGTAGTTAGTCATGAAGCTTTGCTATACTAGCTGGGTTAGGGTCTGACCCAAATTGGCCTGTCAAGAAATTAAAGGCTTTTTAAAATTAAATTAAATTAAAGAACTTCCCCTATATTGAGAGGGAGATGGGTTCCTTAGACAGATCTTCCCAAAAAGCACAGGATGGAAGGTGCCAAAACAAAGAAACTGGCTGTCTTGGAAGCAATGTAAGCCTGGAAAGGAGGAGGGGGACATTCATGGTTTTCTTCCTGTAATTTCTGATTTACTCCAGAGTGAGAAGAGGTAGCTGACATCATATTAAGGATGGTAAGAATACTGAATTCAGATTCTACCTGACAGTCTGAGTATTCTAAAGAGGGTGCAAGAATGGCGCCCAATGCCTAGGAAAGGGGCAGGTTCTTTATGATTCCAGTAACCTGAGCTATTCCCCCTTTCATTAATAAAAATCTTTCATTTCTGACAGTTCAGACTCATAATCCCATGACCACCCCCACAACCCTTATGGTACTTCAAAAAGAAGAAAAGCAACAGGCAAATTTGAATCACCAGGATTACTGGGATCAGGGTAAACTTGACCTTTCTGCACCATTACCTTCTTTTGCTGCTGGAACAATAAGGAAGGAAAGAGATACCTGCTCTTGAAGGGCATTCAGGATAAGGTCCTAAAAGCAAAATCCTAAGGGGGTTCACAAAAAGGCTCAGGTCTTCAAACCAATCTAGAAATTCCCCTGAGTGCAGACCAGATTCCCTGTAGAATGTGTAGTATTTATTCTGTGGCTTACAGTGTAACTTTCTTTTTTTTTTTCATGAGTGGAAAAAAGAGGAAGATGCACAGGATCAATGCTCCAGATAACTGGAATTTGCTGATGTATTTCAGGGAATTTGTTTTACCCTAGGACAATTTCACCTTTTCTCATGTCTCCCTTTCTTCTTTCTTTCCTTACTCTTTCCTCTTCCTTTTCCCCTTTTCCTTCTTCCTCTTCTCACCTTTCCTTCCTACTCTTGGAATAAATCTGTATTCTGTGTTTCCTCTACTGTCACAGTTTTCTAACTACAACTTGGGAGGGGAGGAAATCAGTCCATATCCCCCTCTGCTGAAAAGAACCTTCTATCTCACCTCTAGGCAAAACTCATTTCAGGAAGGGTGCTGTGATCTTCCCTCCTCACAGTCTCCATTTGGTAACCTGTGTTTATGCCTAATCATGCTTAGTCATCAAGAAGCTTGACCTCCACTACTTCTCATTCTGTTCAGAGAGCAGGTCACCATCACCTGGATAATCATTCTTTAATGGTGAGCTAATGGTTACCACCTCCCACTTGGTCCCCAATCTCTTCCAGTCCAGTTTCTTGTGATTTAGAGAAACTTATTTAGAGAAACAGATCTTTTTCTTTAAGTCTTGCTTAGGAATAATTTTATTGGTGTTGTTGGGGCAGCTACAGTGGATAGAGTGCTGGGCCTGGAGTCAGAAAGAACTGAGTTCAAATCCAGCCTCAGATACTACCTGTGTGACCTTGAGCAAGTCACCAAACCCTGTTTGCCTCAGTTTCCTCATCTGTAAAATGAGCTGGAGAAAGAAATGATTTCTTTAAAGTTTTACTTAGGAATATCAGGATTAATAATATGATAATAATAATAATAGTATTATAATCTAGAGTTTGTTATCAGGTAAAGATGCTAAGTCGGCCTAGGGAAGTGGAAGGTAAAAGATATCAAACTAGGGGCAGCTAGATGATGTGGTGGATAGAGCTCTGGCCTTGGAGTCAGGAGGACCTGAGTTCAAATGCAGTCTCAGACACTTGACACCTACTAGCTGTGTGACCCTGGGCAAGTCACTTAACCCTGACTGTCTCAGCAAAAAAAAAGTCAGATAATTTTCCAAAAAAACGAACAAAAAAGTATCAACTAAAACAAGATTCATTAAAGCTCCTTATCTACTGACATTCTGCAAAGAAAATTGTTAGAAAAATCACTTTTTCAATGTCTTTCTGATTAACCTCTCAATCTCTCCCTAAAATAAACTCTCATTGTGGTGTTACTTAATCTAACAGTCCCTCTCCTTTAACAGCTTAAGAGTGCTGGACTTGGGTTCAAAACCTAATCAGATATTTAATAGCTATGTGACCCTGGGCAAGTCACTAGCCTGAGTCTCTCAGTTTCCTTCCATGGGTTAAATTGTCATCTCTCTGTAGATGGCTTCCACATCTACATATTCAGCCTTCCTCTTTCTCCTGAGCTCCAGTCCCACATCACTAGCTGCCTACTGGACATATCCACCTGCTATCCCCAACTCCATGTGTCAACAACAGAACTCATGATCTCTCCCCCTCGCCATCCTCTTAACTTCCTCATCTCTGTCCAGAGCACAACCATTACCCCAGTCACAGAATAATCTTTAGCTGCCTCTCCCTTCCTTTATCCAAATCCAAGTTGCCAGGTATTACCATTTCTACCACTATGGCACCTCTTTCATTTGTCCCCTCCTCCCCATTCATGGCCACCTCCTTCATTCAGACTTCTCTCATCACCTCTCACCTGGACCGTCCAAGGCCTCCTAATTGGTATCCAACCTCTTTTCTCTCCAATCTATCCTCCATAATGCTGTTAAACTGATCATCCTAGATCTCACCATGTTACTCCCCTATTCGAGAAGAATGGTTCTCTTGCCTCTAGGATAAAATACAAATGCCTTTGTTTGGCCTTTAAGGCCTTTCACAATCTGGTTCCAACCTACTCAGGATGAGCGTTTTTGTGTATGTGCCATACACCCCTTTAGCAATCTGGCAAAGCCTATGGACCCTTTCTCAGAATGTTGTTTTTAGAAAAGAAAAGGAAATACATAGGATTGCAAAGGAAATCAATTATAATGAAATATAGCAATCAAAATATTTTAAAAGTCAAGGTCATAGACCCCAAGTTAAGGATTCCTATTCTAGACTAATATCACAGAATCTACTCTCATATGAAGTAATCCATGTTCCACCCAACTTGGCCTACTTCCTGTTTCCCATACTAGATATTCCATCTTCCACCACCATGCCTCTGCACAGGCTGGCCCTCCCCTACTGCCTCGGCCCCCCATGCCTGGATTGTTTTCCATCTTCACTTCTGCCTCTGAGAATTTCTAGCTCCCTTTAAGGTTCTGCTTAAGCCTTATGCCTCAAGGCCTTCCTGATCCTCTAGTTTATATACACATATATATATATATATATATATATATATATATATATATATATATATACACACACACACACATACATACATGTATATAAGTATGTATATATACACATACATACACGTATATAAGTATGTATATATATGTGTGTGTACATGTGTGTGCATGTGTGTATTTCTGAGAGGCAGTATGGCATAGTAGATACAGAGTTGATTTAAGAGCCAGGAAGACCTGGGTTCAAGGCCTGCTTTTGCCATATCCTGGCTATGTGACCCTGGGCAAGTCACTTAACTAATCTGTGCCCCAGAGAGGACACCTCTCTCTGTAAGTTGCAGAGAAGGTGCCCACCTTCATTAGTAGAAATAATTTCATCATCTGGAAGTTCCCTAGATCAGTGATATTACTGGCACAGGCCTTACTCCTATAAATTACATATTAATATGCACATGTCATTTTCCCCGAGTAAAGACAGTGACGTAGCAGTCACTTAATGACTACCCAGTGAATTGAATCTGTGTGCAAGGTACTGCACTAAGATACAAAGTCAGAAACAGTACATTGTGTTTGTATTTCTTTATGTCCTAAAGCAGCTTCTACTCTACTGGGAGTATACGTACACAAATAAGTATAACACTAAGACAGTGAGGGAACAGAGCTCCAAAAACTGAAGGGGATGGGAAAGACTTCAGAGAGAAGTCAAAACCTGAGTTGGACTTCAAGGTGAGCACTCAAAAAGGTGGATAAGAAGGAGTGGGAGCATCGAGGCGAGAGATGGAGTATCAAGTTTAGGGAAAGGCCATTGAGGGCAATGGCTAAAATATCTGTGAAGGGAAGTATGAAAAAAGAATCCAAAGACAGGCAGGCAGTCAAAAAGCATTTATTTATTAAGTGCCAGGTACTGTGCTAAGTGCCAGGGATATAAAGAAAGGCAAAAGACAGCCCCTGCTCTCAAGAAAAGGCAGCTAGGTGGCACAGTGGGTTAAGCACCGGCCCTAAAGACAGGAAGATCTGAGTTCAAATGCAGTCTCAGACACTTGACACCTACTACCTGTGTGACCCTGGGCAAGTCATTTTACCTCATTTGCCTCAGTTTCTTGATCTGCAAAATGAGCTGGAGAAGGAAATGGCAAACCACTCCAGTATCTTTGCCAAAAAAAAAAACCCAAATGGGGACACGGCTGAAATGACTGAACAACAGCTCTCATGGAGCTCACAGTCTGAGGGGAAGATAATAACTATGTTCAATCATGATACAGACAGATAAATTGGGGGTAGCCTCAGAGGGAAAGAACTAGCATTAAAGGGAATCAGAAAAGGCTTCTTAGAAAAGATGCAATTTTAGCTGGGACTTGAAGGAAGCCAGGGAAGCCAGAAGGGAAAACATTCCAGCCATGGAGGACAGTCAGTGGAAACGACTGGCATATGGAGATGGAATGTTTCATGCAAGCAAGAGCAAAAG